TTTCTAGCTCTTTGTAGCAAATAAAATAAAAGATTAATTTCACCAACGAAAAACAACAAGTGCTTTTTAGTCATTTTTAAACTGCAAGTAGTATACCGCGTGTGAACATTCGCAGTAATTTACGAAAAACAACATTTCTGCAACTTCAATAGTTTTTCTCCGACAGCAGAGTAAGCACCCGGCAGGAACCAAAAGACAGTAGCCCATTTGCCACGAGGCCATAATTACTGGTGCCGACAACCATAGAAGCGGAGTGTTCCTGAAAGGAGTTTCCTCAAGGAAGAGTCATTGTTGTAGGGTAATTAAACTGCATGTTTTTACACTTGTTTAAATTCTTGAAGTTAAATTTATTGTTCTATGATTTTTTTTGTTATTGGAAAAGAAAATTTTTGATTTATACTTTAACTTTCAACAAGAGCAAACAATAAAGAAATAACAATTTTAAATTAAATAGCATATTTGGATATATTGGCGATCCTGCCAGGAGCTGCAGAACACTTGCACCTAATTCAAACTTTGTTGAAGAAATTGAATTTAACGTTCCAAGAAGTCCATTCGAACAGTTCACTATTGGGAAACCTCAACCAGATATACAAATTCCGCCTGGAGTCAACCCGACTTGTGGAGATTATAGAAGACTTAATTGCATTACTATTCCAGATCGTTATCCGTTACCTCACATTCATGATTTGACTATTGATTTAAAGAACAAACAAATACTTTCAAAAATTGATCTTGTACGTGCATATAATCAAATACTGATGGCTGAAGAAGACATACTTAAAACAGCAATTACTACACCGTTTGGGATGTTTGAGTTTTTACGGATGCCTTTTGGACTACGAAATAGCGCACAAACATTTCAACGTTTTATTTACGAAGTATTTTCAGGTTTAGAATTTGTGTTTGTCTATATCGATGATATTCTTGTTGGAAGTGATAATGAAGATCAACATATTGAGCATTTAAAATCTGTATTTGAAAGACTTGAAAAATATACTTTGAATATTAAACCTAGTAAATAAATGCATTTTTGGAGCAAATAAATTAGATTTTCTAAGTTCTGAAATTTCAAGTGAAGGAATCAGACCTTCTATCGAACGAGTTGAAGCAATAGCAAATTTTGAAAAACCGGTTTCAATAAATAAATTACAAAAATTTTTGGGCCTGGTTAATTATTACCATAGATACGTTAAAATGTTAGCAGCAGAACTTAGTCCTTTGCACGAAATGTTAACATTAGCAACTAATAAAATTATAGTTTAAAAAACTAAAACCTACCTATTATAATTGCCATTCGTACTGTCATCAGGTATGTAACTTGAGAATAGAAATCGCTGAATCTTTTAGGCGCATCAATATTACATATTTACATCCCGAGCTAATAAAAGGAAGGTAAAAAAATAAACTTAAACAATTAAATTGGACAGAAAATACAACTAGGGCTTTTAAAAATGTGAAGAAACTTTTTACACAGAAGACTTTACTCACTCATTTTGATAAAAGTGGTAAATTATCACTTGCTGTCGACGCATCGAATGTAGCAGTCGGTGCGGTTTTACAACAAATGAGTAATAACACTTTGGAATAGGGATGCAAACGATGCATCGATGTTTTTGAAACATCGATAATATCGGTTAAATTTTCGATGTTTGCCATCGATGTTTACAATTTGCTAACATCGCGAAATTGACGATACATCGATGGAAGTTTTACCGATGTTTTAAACATCGACTTTAAGGAGACTCTCCGACTTTCTTTCGGTATGTTTGACTGACCTTAAATTTATTATCCATTCAGATTTTTGTTATTTATGGCCTTATACCAATTATATTCAAAAATTTTATTGAGCTTGAGGCCGTTTCTTATGAAAAATGTTATTGAAAATCAGTAATAATTTACAAAAGGCAGAAGTTATAGCTGCTATTTCAGAGATCACCACATCTCCTCAGTGACCGCGGTTGAAGAAGTCTGATTAGTAGATGTGGTGATCTCCCAAATTGCAGCTATAACTTCTTACCTTTGTAAATTATTGTTGCTTGTCCACAACATTTGTCATAAGAAACGGCCACAAGCTCAATAAAATTGTTGGATTCATTCTGAATGCTGATAACCTAGCCGTTAAAACAGAACCAAACACCCCTTAGAATTTCAACAAGATCAGGCCTAGGATCTTTAGGCCCGAACGACCTCACGATGGTATGCATTTTGATTCTAATAATAGAAAGGGTATAGAAAGGATAATAAAATACAGGAAAATACATTCATAATTATTAAAGTATTCAATATTGCTTTAAATTTAACTAGAAATTAACAAATTGCAAAACATCGGGAACCATCGATATATCGATGTTTCTCTGGCGATGTATTTTAGCCTCGATGTTCTTTTCTCCGATGCATCGAAACATCGATGTATCGATGTTACTGCTCAAAATTTGCATCCCTACTTTGGAACTACTTGCATATTTTTCAAGAAAATTATCGCCTACAGACAGATTTCGCCACATTTGACAGAGAACTTTTAGCAATATACAATTCAATTAAACATTTTAAATTAAATATCATATTTGGATATATTGAGGGGGAGTAAATGTAGGGTAATTAACCTGTATGTTTTTACACTTGTTTAAATTCTTGAAGTTAAATTTATTGTTCTATGAATTTGTTTGTTATTGAAAAAGACATGGTGGAATAATAACAAGGTGTTGTCAGTAGCGACGTGTTTGTTGTGATTTTGACAAGATCGGCATGCTTATTTTCAGTGCTGCCGATCTTAATTTTTATACTACTATTCGTTGGGAAATAGTATCTAAAATACTCCATTTTAGTAATTCGTTTTATCGCAATTTTTAAAGAACTTGGTGTTTTCAGAACAATATTAATATTTAAAATTGCTGGATTTGTATAATTTTTGTACTCAAAAAGTAGAAAAATAAAAGATATCGTGAATATCAATGGAGAAAAACTTTCACAAAAATAGTATGGAAAGGCGATTTTTTATATTAAATAACTTTTGCTGCATTGTCATAATATTGAGCCAAATGAACTACTGATACACTAGAATAGTGGTTGCATGGCTAAATTATGAATTCGCTTATATTATCGATATTTATGTGTTTTAATCTATTTAGAATATCATTTACAGTCTAATAGGAAATTGCCTTATTTTACGGCTTTTACTTTTTTAAAGTTACAATATATGTCCACACTGTGTGGAGCTGCCGATACAAACATATATTCAGGCGTATAAGCCTGTAATTATACATTTTTCTACATTTAATTTGAATTAGTATGCACCAACGGATTAAAAGTAGTAAATAATTAGTACCTTTTCTAGTACTTTAAAATGCGTGACCGGAATAGACCTGCCGAAAAAGTGAGGTTAAGTTACTGACAACACCTTGTTATTATTACACCATGGAAAAAGAAAATTTTTGATTTATACTTTAACTTTCAACAAGAGCAAACAATAAAGAAATAACAATTTTAAATTAAATAGCATATTTGGATATAAGGGTAAGCGAGTGCTACTTTGTATATGTGCGTGTGTGTGTGTGCCAAATGAGCGGGCTGAAGGCCCAACATGGCGACCTTGGCTGCGTGTGCGAGCATACGCGTGTGGAGGAAAACGCTTTGGTGACACCCTGGGCGGCAGGCGTGTCCGAAAAGCCACTTTTTGTACGGCATAGTACGGTGGATGGGCAAAATTTTATATCGATCGGCCGTAACGGGCGGCAGTATTGCATAAGCCGTGTAACGCCACACAAAACGGCGCGCTGCATCTACGTAAGCTGCTTTTTCCCGCACATTGGGGAGCCCTGTAACCACCAACAGCAGCAGTATTAGCCCGATCACTTTAGACCAAAATCTACGTAAAAAAAAATAAAAATCCAGGAAGAAATTTTTTGACGCAGTTTGGTGTCTCCTGGGCATGAATCACGTAACTTTGAAACGATAGTCGTTCAAACGATACTGACAAAGCGATGTTGTCAAAACACTGATTTATGCATTTGTGTTGCTGTTACGTGTTACTGTTACTGTTACGTGAAGCAAAACTGGAATCGAGTTGACGATATCGCACAAACGATCAAACAATTTTTGATTTTTATGAAGCAAGAGAATCTCGACACGATATCGTTCAGACGATTGTCGTCATACGTGATTCATGCCCTGTTTAGGTGAACACAAAATGAAAATTTTTACGCAATTGCGATATGGGAAGTGTCCGCCATCTTGGATTTTATGTTTTTTACGATTTGCACGCGAATTTTGCATTTCTCGCGAAAAAAGGTGAACAAATTTGTAGAGAATTCGATTCCCTACAATTTTTATGTGCCTATCATTTTTTAAACAATTATTTATTGCTAATAGTATTCAAAAAATGCCCAAAATTAGGTAAGTGGCGCGGTTTTTTCGAATTTTGAGCAATTTCTGCAATAAGTGGCACATTCAAATGGCAAAGTTGTAGAGGACAAAATTTCCAATAAACGCATTATTTACGTGTAGATCTCGACCAACAACGCGCTCACTGCAGCGGCAAAGGAGAAGCTACTCAAAACTTTTTTCCACACCACCTCAGAGGTAAAGCTATTGGCGCGTTTTATTTTTATGTGGTGTTACCAGTAGTCCTAATCCACACATAGTTATTTTCGCCACAATAAAACTCTTTAAAGTGTAAAAACATACATAATTACAGTTTCAACTGACTGAAAATAGTTATTCATGGGCTCGGCCTATTGGTGAACCCACAGTTGAAAATACGTGCCAAAAAACGCGACCTCCGAGATACTGTGAAAAGAGTTTTGAGTAGCTTTCCCCTTGACGCTGCATTGAGCGCGTTGTTGGTCGAGATCTACACGTCGTACGCGAACATATGTATAAATAATGCGTTTATTGGAAATTTTGTCCTCTACAACTTTGCCATTTAAATGTGCCACTTATTTCAAATAGAAATTGCAATAAATAGAATAGCAATAAATAATTGTTTGAAAAATTGATAGGCACATGAAAATTGTAGGGAATCGAATTCTCTACAAATTTGTTTACCTTTTTTCGCGAGAAATGCAAAATTCGCATGCAAATCATAAAAACCACATAATCCAAGATGGCGGGCACTTCCCATATCGCAATTGGGGGAAAAATTTCCATTTCGAGTTCACCTAAACAGGAGACACCAAACTGCATCAAAAAATTTCTTCCTGGAATTTTTTCGTTGAAAAAATCTAATGCAAAATTCGCGCGCAAATCGTAAAACACACAAAATCCAAGATGCCGGACATTTCCCATATTGCAATTGGGGGAAAAATTTTCATTTTGTGTTCACCTAAACAGGAGACACCTAACTGCGTCAAAAAATTTCTTCCTGAAATTTTTTCGTTGAAAAAATCTAAAGTGAACGGGCTATATTGCATAATTGGTTAGGTATGTATGTATATGTATGTATGCAGATATTTAAATGTCGGTTTGCTATTCGCGCGACAAGCTTTTTTAAAAACGAAGTAAATTAGTACAAATTGTTAGTAATTTTCATTAGTTTGAATAACTCCTTTCACTAAATGGCTTTTAGTAACTTTAACGAGACCTTAACTTATTTTATTTTATTCGTTTTAGTGCAGTTTTGACAAAATTTTCTTGCTAAAAAATCTTTTGTTACACTACTTTATTTTATTCCTTTGATTGTACATGTTAAATAAAAGCTTGTTTTTAAAAAATATTTTTTTTACATTATTTTATTTTATAATTTTTAGTCCATTTATAAAAGCGTTGTATATTAAAAAGTGTTATTTCATTTTATGTACAAAATTTTGCAATATATATTAAAATAATTCACTTGCAATGAAAGAGAACAGAAGACTTGGCAAGCAAAATGTTGTTTGCTTACGGTTTGTATAAACATACATATGTACATATAGCAGCAGTTAATTTTATTTAAAGAAATGGCGTGTCGTCCATTTCCGTTGTAGCATGGCATATATTTAGGAGCAATATTTAACTTCTTCTGTCGGGGCGACATCTGGAGTCTTCTAATTCTTACAGCGAGGTTCATATCTAGACTAGGTTGATATCAGAATTTGCCACAAGTAGCTTTGCTACACTATCGCCGACAGCTTTAACAATTTTATAGTGGTTTTACGTTCTTTGGCAAATTCCGCTCTGTTAGCCATAAATCTTACTACTTTTTGACCGCCTTTGAATCAAGACCCCTGGACCATATGGGGAATTCATTTATATTTTAAATTGCATTGTCATCGTGATTGGAACTATGCTGAAAATTTCAAGTCTCTAACTTGTCGGGAAGTCAGTTTAAAATCGATTGGAAATTTCCGCGATTTACGCGGGATGACCAAGTTAAATAAAAGCTTATAAAAACCAATTTCATTATTAAGCTATAAGTGACTTACAAATTCATTTTCATTATTTAGCTCTAAGTGATTTATAAAAACCAATTGCATTTTTTAGCTATAAGTGACTTACAAATTTATTTTCATTATTTAGCTCTAAGTGACTTTCAAATTCAATTTCAATATTTAGCTTTAAGTGATTCAAGGGATTAAACCCATTTTTCCAAACTCATTTTTATTATTTAGCTTTAAGTGATTCAAGGGATTAAACCCAACTTTTCAACTTCATTTTCCTTATTTAGCTTTAAGTGACTTGAGGGATTAAACGCATTTTTTTTTAAATCCATTTTTATTATTTAGCTGTAGGGATGTAGGGAGAGATGTAGGGATGTAGCGTGAGGGATTTTTATTATTTAGCTGTAGGAATTTAGGGAGAGATGTAGGGATGTAGCGTGAGGCATTCAATCTCTTTTTCAAATTCATTTTCGTTATCTAATAACACTCATACTCATAATGCCAACTTGAATAAAATGAGGTGATATACCCAAAGGCAAAAACATAAGTATAACTTTTTCAAAAATTTTGAATTTCAGGTTTCTAAATCGTTGCAACTAAAGTGATTAATGTATCCACCTAGATATAACTGACTTAATACGGTTTGTACTAATTTTTTAACGACTATCTCAATTTCTTTTTCCTATAAATTTCTTTATTCAAGAATACAAAATGTTAATACAACATAACTAATATTTGTACCATATACCGATGTACGTGTGCAACAATTTTTTTGAACCGACCATTACTTTAGAAATACGAAAAATGTAAACCAATTTAAAATCTTTGCAATTGCATGTGAATAGAACCCAATATTCCCACTGCATGAAAACGTCCCTATTTTTGCATGCAAATTTTCAGCCGATGACTTACTGAAGAAAAGCATAAGTATTTTTCACAATTCGATTTTTTTGAAGTGAAACTTCTTAGGCGGCGGTATCGCAAAAATGGAGAG